GGCGGAAATATTTCGCGAACCTTCTTGTATACAATGGTGGCTCCCAAACGACGAAGGACTAAGTCCCGTATTACGAAGCATCCGTGCTTTTGCGGACGAACGCAACGCGAATCCTGTTTCTCAGCAAACCGAATCTCTCCGGGAAATAAGTGCTATCTTTGCAAAGATGCGCCTCGACCCCGAACACGAAGGCGTATCATCGCCTGGCGGCGAATCCAATAGCGGCGCCTCTTCTTTCTGAGGTGCTAATATTGTACCCATATACGAGGCCAAGGCGTCACAAGAGAATCGGGCGACGACCATACGAGACGTATATCCCAACGTTATCGGCAAGAAAAGAAGCGAGGTTGATAAAGCTTTACACTTTACACGTCGGCAGCAAGCCAGCTAGTTTATTACAAGTCACATAGTGGTGCAGCAAAGACGTTTCTGTGACGTTGTGGACGGACTAGGGTCTGAAACGATGAGGTCTCGATGCGGCGAAACTGGGACCGGAATGGAAACCGAGCCGTGATGCAACTCTGCGCTGCAGGACCAGGGGATGCTTGGGAGGTGAGGGGACCTACTATGCGGCCAGATACTACGTACAACACCAAAGCCCGTTGAAATTGGGGGATCTTATGAATAAGATGACCGTGCATGCAGCCATAGCAAATTTACCAATGCCATGGTTACAAGCCAACCTTCAGTCCCAGTACATAGTTATCCTGGTCCGACTTTCCACAGATCCTTAGCCGTCCTGCTACCCCCTTACCCCTACCCCCCTACACTCATCAGACGAACTATATCAACCCGTAATCTCAGATCTAAGTTATTACATATAGATCAGATGATTCGGGTATATATTGGATGGTACCAATGGAAGATTTCGGAGCCCGCCAAGACAAGAAAACCCGGCTATTGTAGACGGATTAGAGAATCGTACGAGACAGAGCTCGGGTGTATAGAAGCGTCGACTAGTTCAACCCAGCAAACGCCAGCACCAGCACCAGCACCGGCATTGTCCCCTCCGCGAATAATACACTTCATTGTAGAAGTATGCTTATTTCACATCGTTCCCGTTACGCAGCTCGACTTGAACAGTAACAGTCAAGCCTCGTCGAATATGCAGTTTCATTAGCCACCTCCATGCTTCCTTGGCATCACCCGCCTCGGTGGCGATATGCAGTCTCTTAGTGCAACTAAACTGCGTCCCCGCACACCTGCATATTGATCAGTTTCCTCCTATGTTCTCCCATATATATTCATCGGCCACAAAAAGAAAGAAGAAGAAAGGAAAGAAAAAGGGGGTATATTCGTCACCTATTATATGACTTTTTTTTTTACTACACCCTCCCAGAATTCATCCGCCAAAGAGGACTAGGTAATCGCAACGACAACTTGCTATCTTTTTTATTTTTTATTTTTTATTTTACAAAACGCCATTATGTATAAGTGGCGCTTGAGAGGAGAATGAAGATAATAAAAGCAAACACACATTCAACACGCCAGTATACACGCAAAAGGCTTCCATCAATATACCCCTTAAAGTTGGACCTCTACACATGGAGTTAGAATCAGAATCAATTCCACTTGAGACAGATAGGTGTTACAGGGTAGAGTAGGGATTCCCGGGAAGAGGAAAATAATCATAAAAGGGCAGTGATACCAGATACCAAAGGCATCTTAGGAAAAAGGAGGACGGCGCATGTGGGATTTTTCTTCTTCTTTCCTACTATACTATACTATATTATACATCTCGGCACATTTCTATTATATCGTAAAGTAACTAATGGTTAGACTCGTCAATTCGTGCAACTAGAAGGGAAATGTTTATGAACTACGGGAAAGTCGATAACAATACCCCTAAGTTAATGACTCGGCTTCAATCACACTAGTTATATAGGTATCTACATATACTTAGAGTATAGTCGCTGCATACCGTTTGCTTGAGGTAATACATAGTAGAAATCCATAACTCAGCTTTTATCAAAAAGTTAAGTTGATTTAAAACATTCCTCTAAACTCGCTAGCTTGGAATCAGTATAATATTGCTGTACTAAGTTATCTAGGTTAGGTACCTAACCTATTATAGATTTATTGAGGTAGGCGGCTGGTCACTCCTGATGAGTTATCTGTAGTGCTTTACTGCTGTGCTGGGAGTCGGGAGCGGTAGGAAATGCGGCCAATGGCGAATTCCGAACTCATTCGCTAGGCATAAGTCGCGATGTCTTAGTCCGTTCCGAGGAAGAGCCTATCCATATCTAGAGTTCTGGCATCGATCTTGGTTCGAGAGGAAATACGACAAGAAGAATGTTGGAAGACATTAGTTTAGCAAGAGTAAATTAGGTATTATCAAAATGTACATGTTGAAGTCAACAATATAGACAACATAGCTACTAGGGCTGTAAACAATGCAACATGGAGAGGCTTGCTCGATGAAGCGTAAGCTTTAAGATAGCTAAGTCAACGGTGTCAGGTACAGAATCACTACGTTGCTCAGAACCTCGGGCATAAGACATAACCATTATTAGTAGGACTACTAGAGAAAGCTTCTCACCAGCTTGTAGTACCACATTTACACATAATTAACCCGTCCGCCAGCCTCGCATCCTAATTATGTACCGGAGGACTGTCCTTTACCTCCCCTTCCCCTAGCCCATAAGCATAACACTGTTCATACACGTACAACCTTCACCTGAGGCTCGCCACTCAATAGCTCTAAGATGCGGAAACTATGCACATGCCGCAATCAACGCTAATTCAGAACATATCTCGGTCATCATCAACATTTTCCGATTCTTCGTTATCGTCGGCGCCCCTCACCTGCCGTAATTTGCCGACGATCGCGTCCGTTCGTCCTAGAATCATGTCCGTCTCGTCGTTCAGATCCTCGTCGTCAGGTTCATCGGTGCGATCCCACCGGCGGCGGAGCCGCTCGAGCGCCCGTCTGGCACGACGGATGACGTCCTCCACGGCCGCCGGATCCACGTCTTCAAATCGCTCCAGGCCAGCTACGAAATCCTAGTCCGTGCCTAGATTCTTGGAATTTGACTTTTCTTTCTTCGCCTCCTCCGTCCCCTCTTCCTCCGCATCCGCTTCGGTAGATTCCGTCTCCGGTGCAGGTTCCTCAGCAGTGCTTGGCTCGGCTTGCTGCTCTTCTTCTGCTGGCGCACCTTCCTGCTTTTCTATGCTTGGAGCAGGTGCTTTGTTCTCCTCAATCACCTGCTCGTGTTCAAGTAAGGGTACTTCTTTGCTGCCCTCAGCCTCCACTGCCTCGCTTTCCGTAGATATCTCTGGTTCTGCCGGCACATCCTCTTGTACTTCTATCCGGATACCTTGAGAATGCACGCCACCATGTTGCTCTTGAGGCTCAGACAGTTGAGGCACTCCAAGTTCCTGGACGCTAGAAGGATTTTCTAGCAATTCACCTTCAACAATGACAGGTACTTCGACTCCGGAATCCTCCTCTTCCACTATTTCGGGGCTCGAGATGTGCATGTTCTTGAGTTTGTTTGCAACGTCCTGATCATCTTCTCGTTCTTCAATAACAGTCGTCACGGAACTACCGGTTGACGGCCTGCTCGAATGTCTGGCCGTATTACTTCTACGAGCGTGTAGACCATGTCGATCATCTTCATGTTCGGTGCTCTCGTGCTGTTGCTGCTGCTGCTGTTGTTGCTGCTGCGGCGGCGGTGGCGGTGGCGGCTGCGGCGGCTTCGCAATCGCGGTTACTATGGGCTTCTTGTCTTCCTTCTCAGCCGGCTCCAGACCCTCTGCTTCTGGTGGGAGCTTGTAGTTCTCGGCAGGGAGAAGGTCATACATGTCACAGACCGCCTTGAAGAATGCATACAAGCCCGTCTGAGCTTCGACTGACCAGAACACCCCTCTATGTTGGAACCACGCATGTGCGAATATTCTGTGGAGCCGACGGAACACATTGATGAGATTCTTCAGCACTGAGCTCTTGTCATGCCCTTCCGACAGCACCACAAATCTGCTTGGAAAGATCTTGGGGTTGGTGACTACGTTCGCAGCCCAATCGAGGGTATGGCAGCAGTAGTCGATGGCACAGCAGCTCTTTGGTTGGTCATGGACGGCGCATAGAAATTGCCATTCGGAGGCTCGCATCTCGGGGCATGTTATGGATGAACATGGTGGCGTATCAAAGAGGAAGCCTACTATCAGACTATTACATTGGGCGATAAGGAAACGGCAGAGCTCGTAGAGCCATAGCGTCTTATCGATGCCTGGCGGCGGCGTAGCTAGTTGCAAAGCAATCGCCCGGGTGATAGGTGTCGTATTAGAGGCGGTATGATGGTAGTGAAGTGCTGCGAGATGTTCCTGAAGTTGAAAGGCCGAGTCGAGCTGCAACGTGTCGTATTAGTACCTGCTGTCGCGAAAAGGGTTAGAGTAAAGCAACGCACCTCGCCAAGTGGAATAAGAGGCGGCCCGGCAGCCATGTCCTCAGACTTGGTGCCCGGATGTATGCGCCGTTTCGCATTTGCTTCGGTAATGGTCTGCTCCATCTGTTGTGCTTGACGGCTTACAGTGCTACCCAGTCCTGGAGATTTAGGTCCGATCTGAATCTCGGCGGGAGGTGGTGGACTGGGCAGTCGAGGCGAGCCCTGCGCCAGAGACATGATAAAAGTACCTAGGTAGATATTTGAGGGTAATGCCCCAGGTGCGGATTGTTTATTGGGTAAACAGTTGGGTGGCCTTGCTTCGTTGTTCTGTCGCTAAGTGAACTGTTGTTGTGTGATTTGAGAAGCGCAGAAGCGCCAAGCTCCTTGATCCAAAAAGCAGCTAAGATACCTGGGTACCTCCGAAGCTAGGGCAACATGTACGGATTACGTGAAGTACATAATGTACCAAGTACATAAGTACTACATCGTTATATACATGTACATGTAATCAAAACTGTATTGAAGCATGCAATATCCGCTCTATTGTAGCTATGCATTTAAACATAAATGTGTTTTTGTCTGAGGTCACTTGGAACCAGATGTCATTGGGAGGGCGCAAGACAACAATCCGAAAAAGTATTGATAATACTTTACGTACTCTTCTCTTAGAAACTTCCGCTCTTTTTTTTTTTATCAAATCATAAATAAATACCAAAGTCAATACCTATCTATCCCATATTTAAGAATATATCATGAACTTTGACGAAGATGTACCCCCGGAGCTTGTCGAGACTGAGACAGGCCCGCAAGAGGAGAAACTTGTCAAGGTGCCCATCACCATCGTCACTGGTAAATTGATGTTACACATTATTGATATACCATTACTAACATTCTATAAAGGATACCTTGGAGCCGGAAAAACAACTTTGCTCAACTACATATTAACTGCCCGGCATGGCAAGAGAATTGCCGTCATCATGAACGAGTTCGGTGATTGTTAGTAACAGGAGCATGCACCCTGCAAAGCCAATTGCTAAGCTAACCCTATCCTAGCACTCGATATTGAGAAGTCATTGACGGTCAATAAGGGCGGCGAGCAAGTGGAAGAATGGCTCGACGTCGGCAACGGCTGCATCTGTTGCTCGGTGAAGTACCGTTCAACTACGTTGGTCAATGAAGTAGTATTCTAACCTTGGCGCAGGGACTCCGGAGTCAATGCTATTGAGTCACTTATGGAGAAGAAAGGTGCCTTTGATTACATTCTTTTGGAAACTACTGGACTGGCCGATCCTGGTAACCTAGCCCCCTTATTTTGGGTCGACGACGGTTTGGGAAGCACCATCTACTTGGATGGAATCGTTACACTAGTCGATGCGAAGAACATTCTTCGAAGCCTAGACGACCCATCGGGGAAAGTCGAGGGCCATGATGATCATGGGCCCCTCATGACGACCGCCCATGTTCAAATTTCCCATGCAGATGTTATCGTTATTAACAAGTCAGATCTGGTTGAGCCTGCGGAGCTTAAGAATGTTAAAGAGCGAATACAAGCGATCAATGGCCTTGCAAAGATTCATATAACGAACCAAAGCGTTGTGCCTCAACTGGAAGGCTTCTTACTGGACCTACATGCATACGACCAAGTTGAGGCTTTGGATACTGTAGGAAAGGGACACAGCCATCTTGACCCTGTTCGTTAAATACCTTTACTCAGCTGGAAATTAAGCTAATAATCCCGTAGACTATTTCCACGGTTTCTATCAATGTGCCGCCTTTAGCTCCTGGACAACTTGAACTAGTTGATAGCTGGATAAGGTCGCTCTTATGGGAAGGCCAAGTACCAGGAGAACCGACTAACTCGAGTGAACCCATCGAAATTCATCGCCTAAAATCCCGCTTAGTTTTTAAGGACGGCAACGTGAAAATGGTGCAGGGTGTTAGGGAGGTGTTTGAAATTTTCGATGGAGAACAAGCGCCTAATGAAGATGGCGAAGTTCCGCAAGCTGGGAAGCTTGTCCTTATTGGAAGGGGTGTGCAGGGGATCAACTTTGAGACAAGCCTGCTAAACGCAATCCAAGATATAGAGAGCTAGAATATCATCATCAAACATCCGTGAAGGCATTAAGCCTCACGGCGCTGGTTTGCAGGAGAAATCAAGAATCTAGTCAAACTCGAGCTGCCACATGTTGTCCTGATAATACATACCAATTCGTTGCCGTTAGGCGGCACTCAGACAAAGCTGTCTCTTGATTGTTACCCTAAGCAAGCTTTGTAAACTGTCTAAATTTAGCCTTTAAATATTTTTAGAACCATGGCCGAGCCGAATATGGGTAACCGCCATTAATCCCTTGTTTCGTCCGTGGGATTTACACTTTGTGAATATCTATCGTGGACACAGATAGTTTAACAAGTTGAAGAAGACGGGTAACAATCCTCATAAACATATGCATTAAAGCTTTATATTCTGCTAATTTAGCCAATATGTTTCTTGGAATAAGCTGGCTATACCATTATGATATCTTAAAGGCTTTACCCGGGTTGCGAATACTTCTAATTGATTATCTACCTCCTAGATTGCCTAGGTACCTATTTAAGCATCGACTACATAAATGAGTGTTATGGTTTATTAATAGTTGTTGGTGGTAAAGATGGGTTCTAAATTCCGGCCGTCACAGTACAGAGCTTAGGTAGGTAACTATGGTCTCCTACATCTACCTGTCTTTGAGGGTACATAAATTACTGTGTACACATGATTTAGGAGAAGAGTAAAATAGGTACACTAAATAAAATGGATTGAACATCTTATAAAAAGCTGCCTCTTTCTATCAGGTGCCTAGGTAACCATGTACCTTAGGATGTAGGAAGGATACATGTGCCTAACATAGCTGTCGGGAAGTTGCAGTGCGGGGACTTTCAGTTATTGCATGGTGCATTGGTGGGAAGAAAGAGAAAGTCGCGGCTCATGAGGCTGGTTGAGGCTGCACAGGCTAGAGGGCAAGGCGCACCTGACCGGTCAGGTCCAATGCTGCCTCTACGTAAGGCAACTGCACGCTTATCCACACCGTGTGTAGATAAGGCAATATAAGTAGACTAACTATGTTAGGCTTAGCCTATGCTCAGGACAAGCCAACCCCAGTAAAACTTCCCATCCTACGATCGCAAAGCTTCGTGAATCCACATTACCATTTCGCAAATAGAAACACCATTAAGGATAGCTACTACCCCCACGAAAACCCCACCGATCACGACGAGTTTAACCCTTCCAAAGTCAAAGTTTATAGGGAGTTCACGTCAGGACTTCTCTAGTGTGGCATCGTAGTCATGAATCGAACAGGTAGTGCCGACCCTCTTTCCCTCTGCCTCGCGTGCCCCGCCTGTTTGCTTTGAATCGTGATGTCGACCACATCGTTGTCGCGCTCCGTCACCCACTCTCCGATCTTCTTCGACCAACTTTATATTTCCCGCTTCGAGACGTATAATATATAAACCAGGTCATTGGATGCCCCAGGGTAGCGGTAGAGTCCAGGAGGATCATTTTTGCTATATCCTTCTGGCCTCAGCCTTCTCGAAATATCAGCCTCGTCTAGGGGAGCAAGGAGACCACAAGCAACTATTGCGTACTAGATCTATAACAAATAGATATACCTCTTGTCATGAATTAACGAACACTTTGTTCCACTCATCGTGCCCCATGAAAATACTTCATACACTTGGCTAATACTGAACGTCCTCAGGAGCCGTGCCACAAACCCTTCGAGGGATACCGACTGGATTCGGAGGCCAGCAACAACCCCAACAACCAGGTAGAACAGTGTCTAATAGGATACCGAACGGAAAATTAGGTATGATCGCGAGATCAAGGTGCTAGTAATTGCTAGATCCGAAGCTGATGTTCTGTCGCATAAAAGCGAATAACGGAGCCGGATGGGCGTTTGGTGGTGTTCCTATGGGGGGTGCAGGTCTACAAACGTCGTCGAGGCAACTAGGAGGGAACCTCAGTTTTGCTCAAAGTTTAAGCGGTTCGCAACCGGCAACGCCTCTCGATCTCTCGTAGGTATTTTCCATTCCGTGTTAGCTCTATCGTCACCGTCACCGTCACTGTCACCGTCACCGTGAACTTGTTTTTACGCAACAGCCAAACTTCGTCGTATAAGCGCCAACGTTCGTTTTACTCATTATCCATACCCTTCGTTCTCGTCCGTTGCTTCATCTAGTTCACGTAACTAGGCGGCATGGCGTCTTTGTCGCCAGGTCCTAAGGCAAGAAAGCCAAGACTCATACTTAAGACCCATACGCCACGTCCTACTACCCCGTCGCCCCTGGTAGTCCCAGATGCAGGCTTATCATATGCTACTGTTGCTGGACGAACAGATCAAGACAGCTTGCCCAAAGCCAGCCCTTCTCCAGACCGTACCAATCGGTAAACAAACATGATTTTTCCTTGTCACGTTAAACTTGAGCACACGTCAACTTAAAATCCTTTTATGTTGTGAAATATAATTTCACACTTCGAAGCTAATTTTTCTAGCAGCGAATTTCCGTCACTCTCCAACAATTCTCAATTACAAAGCGCAGGTGCTAGCTCTTTATGGTCAACAGGAGCATCAAGAGGTATGAGCGGTACAATACAGAGGAACCAGCAACCCACTCCACTCTCCTCTCAACACGCACAGCAGGACGATTTCTTTTCGCCTTCAAGGATGAGCTCTAGCCAAAGTCAATATCGATTCGGGAACCAGAATAGCGTGGCTCAATCATCACAACCTCAACCTAACAGTATCGACGAGTTTCCACCTCTGAATAATAACAGCATCAGAAACAGCAACGGAGATATTGGTCAAGAACGCGGGTCAAATCTAATGTCGACCCTTGGATTTGGCGCTCAAGGTAGCGCCGCTCCTGGTTCCCTCCAGGGTCCTAGATCAGGAAATGGCTTGCTTAATGCGCTATCTGCTAACAACCGAACAACCGATGTTCGTTCGCCAGATGGATCCACTGCCACAGGTATGCAGATTCCATAAAATTCTTTTTTTCTTTTGTCGCCATATTACAGTACGTTAATAGGTCTACAGGCTCTTCGCGACCGCAAGACATTAGAGGTACTGGAACCGGCGGTAACGACGAGGCTCGCCAAAAGCCCCCTGGATTCCAGGACAACTTGGTTTCTCAGTCATCTACACAAGATCCGGCAGCCCTGAATCCGCTTGGTGCTATTGGTGCTATCGGCAGTAACGACGCATCCTCGAACAAGAACGGCGACCAGAAGGATGATCAATCCCCATCGGTACATGACCCTTTAGCAGGCATGGCACCTATTGATAAGTGGGGGATCAAGGGTCTTCGCACCCTTATGAACAACTATCCCGACTACAATGCAGCTGTTACTGGCTTGGATCCGACAACACTAGGCGTAGATTTTACGTCGCCTCAGTAGGTTTCTCATCGCTTTTGTTTTTGAGTTTCCTGACTAATGTAATTCCAGGCTGCTATCGACGCAAATATACTCACTCTTCAATGATTCCATTCCCCGACCAGCAGTTCCCGACTTTCGGTTGCCAGAGTGCTATAACGTGAATAACGTACAGCCTCTGGAAAACAAGATCAGCAACTTCAACGAGGAAACTTTGATGTGGATCTTTTACAGTTGTCCTGGAGATGTCAAGCAGCATCTTGCTGCTCATGAACTGTAGGACACCGCTCCACCATGTTGGCGACCTTGCGATACTGACACTTCCTAGCTACAACCGCGCCTGGCGATGGCACAAGAAGCTGAAGATTTGGCTGACTAAAGACGAACTAATGCAGCCCCGAATCCTCAGCACCCAGCATGAAGAGGGCTACTACATCATCTGGAGCACAACAGACTGGCGAAAAGAGCGTGTAAGTGACTGCATAATGTTTACTTTGACCCCCGAAATGCACCTATTGACACAACCTACAGCGTACTCTCACACTGCATTATGCAGATTTAGAGGCCAGCAATGCTGCTTTGCCGTGAAGGGAAGATTCCCGAGGGAAGATGGTTGTCTGTGATATTGAGCAGTATGCAAGGCGCAACGAGCCTACAAACAGGGTGGCGTTGGTTTTCACGGAATGCACAACCTAGGGGGCACGGTTGATTGCGGGCAACATATGGCTTTCATGCTTGGTAGTCACGGGCGTAGCAAATGCCCGAGTCGGCAGACAGGCTTTGATTCATTAATATAGGATTTTCAAATCCATTGCACTGATCTTCTCCAAGTGAATAATGATTTGTGAAAATGTAGTTATAGTAAGTAAGCCTAATGGCCAGTTTTATTGTAGGTAGGTAATTGGAAATTATACGTGAGTATTCCTCGCGATCTAGACGACATTCTTGGAGTTTAGAGGCTTTCAACATATGCCTTTAAGTCTCGAGCTTGGATATCCCATTGTGGATACGACTTGAAATCCAGGATCGCATTGTAGGCGGTCAGTGGCCCGGTATTAAGCACGAGTTCAGAGCAGATGGTAAATATTGCTTCTTTAGTGCCGTACGTGGGTGTTACTAAGGTGGATGTGGGATCTTCAGGGCAGTGTAGAGAGCCGTAGTCGATTTGCCGACTTACGAGAGAGGATGGAGTAGCAAGCGGCGCAGCACCGAGTGCGATGAGGAATGATGAGTCAAAACATCATTGTTGGTATCCAGAAATTGACTCGATTTTTCTCATAATGACGAGAGATGGGGTTTTAATGGGAATCGACGTGTTTATATGGCTTACCTGGGAAGCATTATAGCCGGCTCATATCGTGTGATTAAGGTGATCGTCGAACCAGGTGACCATGCTCAGGGCGGCGGCCACATCTGTATTCGGCGGATCCCCCGTTTACATGGTTGCATTTCTCCACGTTTTCCGTTTCCTTATACTATGTAAACCAAGTCTAAGCATTCCATGTAAGACTATATCCATAATCGAGCCTATTGTGTTTATCCCCATGTTTAACCTACCTAGTTTCTGCGGTTTAGGCATTTTATAAGCCTTTATTCTTCGCCTTGTAATTAGTGCAATTAACATATATCTCGCTTATCTGTTTCAGTATATTAGTAGTTAACTGCGTAGAGCCTCATCTTCAGCTCTTAGCTCTAATTGTAATAGTGCTAGATTCAGTGTTATTCTAGGTCAATTTTCATAGCTGCCTGCCGCCTAGTGAGTGCTGATCCTTACTACGTGTATGATGTTCAATTGCGGAGTTGGATCCAAACGATTTCGACGATGAGCCACTCACCGTGATGAGTCAATGGGAACGGATCCATCGTTAAGTAGCTTCGCCCTGCCACTGGGATAATAAACGGCTATTAACCTGTGCATGTGTTTGATCGAACGAATGTATTTAATCGAGCAAATGGGCTTATCCTTGATTGACAGGAATTTATATTCCTTGTTATTACCTTATAAGCCATTATTGTGCGCCTTCAAGTTTAAGAAAACGAATGCAATACAAAAACGCCTATCTAACAGAGCGTCTTCGAAGCCTCAATGTCTAGCGCTACTGGATTAAGCGGGGATGACCTCGTCGAGTTGTCTCTCTTACGTGACTTCGAGGTAGATGAGCTTATTAGGAATGGATTCCTAAACGAGAGTGAGCAAATGACGAGGCCCTTAGATAAGGAGCTTGTCTTTAAGTACGACGAGCTGAATCTGTATATCACCCCCGAACCCCTGTATCCAGCTGCGTCCGCTACTTGGAAGCTCGAGAGCTACGAATTATCACGAGAATCGGTAATCGAACTTCGCACACAACTGAGGCGGATTGTAGAGGGCGCAGCAGTTACTAATAACATCTTAAGATGGAACAGTCGGGGAGAGTGTGCATATGGTGCTTTCGAGCCAACTATGGCGGTCTATGAGCTTGCCAATGCGACAAGGACGTATTTGAGGTCATGGCGCGAGAGGCTTGTGGAGAAACCAAAAGGCCGTATTAGGTCAAATCTTCTCCCATTTGAGGAGAAGCCAGCGACTCCGATAATGACATCTAGCGAGACGGCATACCATTTCCTACGGCAAACGCCCCAGGAGATATGTTCCCAGATTCCCTCCTGTTACAGAGTTCTCCACGTGGAGGAAGTTATAAGATCTGACCTGGCCGGTAGATTCTATAAGAAGCAAATGGAAATAAGGGAAAGGCTGTCCGAATACTCTATAGTAACACTTCACGGTTGCGTACCTGCAGGCTTACACCACAGCAAACGAAAAGAGGTGTATATAGATCATCTCGCGAAGCCCACGATGACCTTCCATGGGACTCAAAGACAGCTCGTGCCATCTATAGTACGCTACGGATTCCTCAAGCCTGGACAGAAGAACCCGGGTACGAACGAGGCGCATGGGATTCGCTGTGGCTCGACGTACGGTAGGGGAATTTACAGCTCTCCGAACGCAGACTTTTCTCTCAGCTACACGGGCAACTCATGCCAGGCCACTAAGCCTAATGAGTATTTTGGGATCAAGCTTTTCGTATGCGCGACGATTATGGGCCGCTCGGCCGACGTTTATAGTGATGACAATTGGAGGAATCAAAGCCAGGCCTACCCCGGGGCTGACTCACACGTCTCCAATCGCGGACTCGAGTACGTCGTCTTTGATAGTGCACAGATCCTTCCAATATATGTGATACATATCGACTGGGGCCACGACAATTACGAGCACTTTGAGGAGCTCCCTAGTAACCCCGAGAGCTTCGTTCCAACAAATCAGACAAGACACCCGAAGCTTTTACAAGGCGTCCGCTGGCCGGGAGACATACAGCGCGAGAAAGCCGCTGTTTTTGCCCGAGCAGCGAAGTGGTTCCCGTACGGCTACGGGCCGTCGACTGGATCCAAGTTCGTCGTGGAAGAAGTTGGTGGAGTCGACGAGGATGAGGAGGAATATGGCGACTACCAGGCGCTCCGAGGTGAAGAAATCAAGGATAAGACGAACCTGAATTTCTGGAGTTGGGTCAAGGTCGGCGAGGAGATAGACGCTGTTGAAGGAGATGGGCTTGTAAATGAGTATACAAAGGATCGCCGTTGGTATAGTTCTAAGACGTCAGAGGAGATGCCGAACTGGGACAAGATCCCTTCCCCCGAGGAGGAGGAAGAAGAAGAATATGTCGATCTTGAAAACGATGATGATTTAGGTATAGGCCGGCTGATGGTTTGACTTAATTGATAGTATATCTAGGTGACTATTATTAGTTTATATATAGCGTAAGGCGCCGTCTCGTCATGTTACTGATATTATTATTTTGTATATAATATTTCTGTCTGGCTGCTTCAGGAATTTGAATATACCGATATATGATATATAATATTTTGGTATAGGCTGGATGATAAATTCAAATTCCTAAGAATAAAGTGTACTGTACTTTATATTATTGGGGTTCATTGGGGTAGGTACTTCGTAGACCTTGGAAGCATTGAAAAGTTCCCCGCGGTGTAACCCGCTAATGCACCAATGGTCCAAGCTCCTATGTTTACACCCACTTCGCTTGTGGCCAATGATCTGCCGGCAATCGATACCGACACCCACAATCCCTACCTTCACTTGGACGTATCTGCGAATTCCTTCTTTTTTACCTTGTTAATTCTATCTATTAGCTATCGCCAATTGACACCAATCGCGCCCCGATTCGCGCTCCTTATCCTCCAACGACATCATTTTTGTCTCCGTCTTCATACAATGCTTAATTGAACGTTGCTTATTTTAATTGTTTCTTGTTACGCCTTGCTCGGAAATCGTACGCGACCTGATCTATAATAGACGCGTTTCTCGACACATTCGCGATGGTCGGGCCACGAGGGGCGCGTCTGCCGGTCGGCTCCGCGCCTTGGATCTCAGAAGAGAGGTCATCAGCTCTGCAGATTGCACAGTCCGAGGTTGAGGAATTTTCTTTCTCTGCTAGGAACGACTTCGACTGGTTGAATGAGCATATGGCCGAGATATTTAGCGAAAATCAAATGTACGTAGATACTTAGGATCTCATGGGAAGCCCTTGAAGCTAACTATTACGGTAGCAACGTTGCCGAAATATTTAAAACCCCAGGAAAACTACGAGGCAAGACTCCTCGAACGGTTCGGAAAATAAACGCGGGAGAAGCTCGTGTCGTGAGTCTCGTTGGGCTAACCTTTGTGATATCAACACTAACGCTTTTCAGCCCCTCTCTAACATCTTTTCCGCTACGCCCAAGGGGGCCCCGAACCCTTTCATCATACCAAATATGAATCGAAGTAATACGCCTAAGATTGAAATTCCTGCAGATCCCCAACCATCCCCTCTTAAGGCAGTTGCGCCAGAGAGTCCCTTGAAGCATACGGCTTCTCCGAAACACACGTCCTCAGCCCAGCCGTTTTCTGTTGTAGATTCTGGATATCATGGTAGCCAGTCTCAGGACATAATGGATGTTGATCACGCTGTAGTGGATGACGAGGCAACACAACCCTTTAGTCCACAGGCGGACACACAGGGCGATGATGTAGCTTTCGATGCTTCTTCCAACCACCATGAACATGACAGTCCAGCTCCTCACTCGCCAAGTCCTACAGTTGATACGAACGTGGGTGACCTTGACACACAGTATTTTACTGCCCACGTTCCGGTAGGAGCCTCATCTGATAAGGTAGATGGTCCTCAGGAGAGCACTACGCCGGCAGGTTCACCCTTACGGTCACCTGCCTCGCCGGAAACCTCGCCCGCAGAGCACTCAGCTGTTGTTGGCATATTTGGCGCTGACGTTGAAGACAATATCTTGGATGTAGATGCAATGGAAACCGTACCTGAGGAGGAGCCGTCAAGATCCTCTTCTGATAGCTCAAGTCCTATTCGACCTATTGTTCGGAAAAGTAGTCTCAATTTTGCTTCCTTACCTGCAAGAGAGCCTATCACGCATAAAAGCATAGGCAACCGGGTATCAAGGACCAGCCACTTGGAGCAGAATCGAACGAGTTACTACAACCGACATACTGGAGGAAAGAGTCTGGGACACACAAGACATGATCTTACGGATGATGAGAATGATGATATGGACATTGATGAGGACCCCTCTACCCAAGAGCCTCAACCGCAATCGGTGCCGGATAATACAACCACGCATAACAAGACTTATACGCAACGCCTTCAGGATCAAATCAGCAAATTAGGCCAAGCGCAAACACAGACTTCCAGAACTTCTAAGTCAATTCCGGATCCTTCTGTCGCTCAGCCAACAACAGTCGCAGTTCCTGCCCCCCAGCCTTCGTCTCAGGCAAAGCCGCTGCCCTCGCCCAAAAAGACTACAAC